GGCTCACTGCAATCTCCACCTCCTTTATTCAAGCAATTCTCCTGCCTCAGCCTCCTGAGTAGCTGGGACTACAGGCGTGCACCACCACGCTGAGCTACTTTTTATTTTTGTATTTTTAGTAGAGACAGGGTTTCACCATGTTGTCCAGCGTGGTCTCGATCTCCTGATCTCATGATCCACCCGCCTTGGTCTCCCAAAGTGTTGGTATTACAGGCATGAGCCACTGCACCTTGCCCACTTTGGCTTTTTGAATTGCCAGAGTTCTTGGGCTGATTTTTTCTCATATGGGAGGGTTAGTGTTCCTTTAAGTAAGGTGTAAACTGAGAATAGAAAATTGGCTTCATTTCTGCATGTTTTCATATGGTCCAGGAACTGTGCAGGGTCTTGTTGGCTGATTCTTGCCGTTTGTTTCATAGTGAGAGATATTAGCAACGTATTTTTGTTGTAGTAGTTTGTGCTACAATACAGTAGATGATGCTTAAAAGTCATGGCCAGTGGATCACCTTTTACTCAGCCAAGTGACTTTTTTGTATTTCCTGGCATGTGTATTCATGCTCTGCAGTGCTGTGGAAAGAGAGGAGATCCCCTTACCAAGTCAGCTCCTGGGCATTGAGGGAGCCCCTCTAATCACTGGCACTGTACGTTCACTTATTTTGTCAAGTGTTTGGGCATGGTACTTCCTCAGGCAGAGGTACTTTCAGGGCCAGCCCTGAGAGGAAGGCACACTCCACTCCCATAGCAGACTGCACAATCCTGACACTCAGCTTTTCTGGTGCTCTTACAGTGCTGGCTCCTTTTCTGCTCAAGTGCTGTTCACAAACCTCAGCTTGGCAATTCCAAGCTACCACCACAGCCTTGGGGGAAGCTCAAACTTTTTGTTCCCTCCCCAGCTTGGGGGCAGCAGGAGTAGGGACCACTGAGGAGGCAATGTCAGAATATTTGTCAGTTGCTTCTGGGGTCTCCAGCCCAGAGGAACATGGAATCATGGCTAATTGAAGTCATCAACCAAGGGTACAGAGACTGCACTATGGGCCCAAGCCAGGGAGCTCTGCCTGGTAAAGAGTGAGGGCACAAGGGCTCACAGAAACACAGTCTGGTCTCCTCTCCTTAGGGTAGCTACAGTGTGCTGGAGGTCAAGCAAAGCAATCAGGCTCTTTGTTCCTTCCCTAGACTTAGAGGATCCAGAGCTTGTAGTGCAGCTGTGGCAATGGCAGAGTGTCTGTTAGTTGTCTCTGGAGCTCCACCCAGCTGCACTGGGGCCCAAGCTGGGAGGCCTTGCCTCATGAAGAGAAGCAGGGACAGGGACTCAGGACTCATGTAGAAAACAGTCTGGCCACCTTTCTGTATGGCAGCTGCAGTATGCTGGAGACCTGTGACAGTTCTTGGGCTCTTTGCTCTCTTCCCAGCCTGAGGGCAGTAGCAGCAGAGGCCAGGTGGCAGGGGCCACTTGGATGTGGAGCACCATCCAAGAGAAATACAGAGCTGCCACCAGCAAGAGTACTTAGGCAGAGGTAGAGTAGCTGCAGTGGGGTCTCAGGCCAGTGGGCCTTTCCTGGTGGGGTGCAGCAGAGGTGAGGCATTTAGTCCATCTACCTCTCACACCACGAATGCAGCCTTCATCCTAGGGGCCTGTGAGAGAGCCTGACCTCTCTTGTTGGCAGGGCTACCATAGCAGCTGCTTGGGTGCCCAGGGATCTAAGAACCACGGAGTCCCACCTCGGCTTGAGCAGTGGGTTTGTCCAAGCTCCAGGCAGATCTCTGTGTCTGTCCAGAGGTCAAGGGCATCAAGGAGGATCTCCTGTGTCCAGGATTGCAAAGATCATTGGCAGAAGTGTGGATTCCCAGGAGCTCTCACTCACCCCTTCCCCACGGCAGGGAGCCTTCTCTAGTTCTGCGCCAATCCTGGGTGGGCAGCTGTCCCACCTTGCTCCTTTCTGTACTCCATGGGTTTCTGTTGCTCCCTTGACGAATCCCAACATGGCCTCCTGAACAATCCACTGGAAGACCTGTTTCCTCTCTATGAGAGTGGTGCACACTAGCTGCTTTATAAGCTAGCCATATTGGCACATTTTTCCAATAATAAAGAATTTTAATGGAACAGTTTATATAATTCTAAGAGAGCTAAGACTCATCACCAAATCCCTAAATAAAGTCACCTGTTTTCAATAAGTGTTTAAAATTAGTATATTTATGATTCATAGAAGAATTAATGTTGAGGTCATTTTAGTATTCAATGAATTTATAGCCTAGGACTAAACTTACACTCTCCTCTTGCATTATACTAGGTGTTTTGTTAAATTGCTGCTATAACAAATTACCACAAACTTAGTGGTTTAACACAACACAAATTTATTCTCTTGTAGCTCTGGAGTTCAGAATTTCAAAACGAGTCTTACAGGACTATGATGAAAGTGTTGGTAAGGTTGGTTCCTTCTGTAGGCTCCAGGGGAAAAGCTGTCCCTTGACTTTTCTAGCTTTTTTATCACCTAGGCTCCTGTCTTTTTTGAAGTCAGCAATTGCTTCCATGCTTCTTCTCACTCTCCTGCCTTCCTCCTCCCCGTGTAAGGAATCTTGTAATGACTTTGGAACTATCAAAATAATCCAGCATAACCTCCCCATCTCAAAATGCTTAATTTCTTCACATCTGCAAAATGCCCTTTGCCACTTAAGGTAACATCGTCTCAAATTCTGATAATAGAGGCATGGTATTTTAGGAAGGAAGGCTATCATTCTGCATACCATATAGATAAAAGTGAATTTTATCTTAATTCTGACAAGAACATCATATTTTTTAATTAAAGAATTAATCTTTCAATTATTCTATTAAGCATACTGTCATATTTCAAATTATTTTTTCTATTTTGACTGTATTTTTCAGTTTTTTTCTTCTGATTATTTCAGTTAATATGTAATATAAATATAATTCAATTGATAGCAAAAATAGTAGCTATTTTAAGTTGATATATGACTTCAAAAATTTTAACTGTGTACACCATTTTATTGTGTTTTAATAACAATGTATCAATTTTTATAAATTACTACCTTTTTCAAGGGAAGAAACCTTAGTAACTCACCTCAGAATTTTTCTTATTGTTTGCAGCCAAATCACAACTTAGCCTCCACTTCAGATACCCTCTTCTTAACATTGGAACCCCATCTTTAATAGCATAAAAAATGAAGTGTTACTGTTAATTATTAAAACCTCACAGAAAATTCAATTTAGTTAAAGTCATTCTATGCATTGGGAGGTGATTCTTTAAAACTTGACCAAAAAAATTAAATGCAGAATTTGGAGATTTTTTTTTCAATTCAGACATATGATGATGTAATGAACAGTCTCCTGTTAGAGCTGCAAACAATAAAATATAAAGGAAAATGTAGCTTATTATTTCAGAAGGAGGAGAAAGTAAAATGGTTTATCACTAAGCACAGTTTTATAAATAAGACATTTAAAATGTAGTGAGATTTTTATCACTTTCCTTAAAAGAAATGGAATCTACCCCCTCTATTAACCACTTGACTCTATCTCATTCAAGCATTATACATGAAAGAGTACACAAAGGACAGAGCTATCAAATTAAGGTGTTTTAATATTCTTCATGGTTCACTGCTTGGAAGGCAATATTATTGTTTCTATTAGGGAGGAGGAAAACCATATAAGAAGTTGTTCTACTTATTGTTGATGCTAAGACTATTTGGGATTATTTAGATTTCTACAACTCACATTGCTGGAGTAGAATAGTCCTCTGGCAAATTAATTAATTAATTCCAAAATGAAATCTAGAATTTGCACACACCCTTCCCAAAATGACACTTACCTACCACTCAAACAATTATCTATGACTGGTGTAAAATTCTGCCTAGCTTAATATCAACAGTTCATTTTAAAGAAAACTTTATTTTTCCATTGGCAACAAGTTTAAAATCTATTATTTCTGAGATAAGATT